TATCTATCACCCCTCAATTTAAAGCTATGTCCCCTCGTGCTAGCCATGGGAACAGTTTCTCCCCCTGGGGAAGCAGCAAGTGGGCGGTGGGTAGCGGGGGCTGGGTTTTGTGTTACAATTCTTTAAGATGCTGGTTAGACCCCAGCTGCAGTATTGTGTACAGTTCTGGGTGGTAGTCTGTAACAAAGATGAGAATACATTTGCGAGCGCAGGCGAGAATGGACCAAGGGATGAGGGACAACAAGGTGTAGAGCTGGATGAACACAGCAGGCCAAGCAGCATCATAGGAGCAGGAAGGCTGACGTTTCAGGACTTCATTGGTGAGGACACATGGTAAAGACGGGACTTTGAGAGGCGGTGAATTGGTTGAGGTTTTTCAAATTCATGTGCAAGCTGGGCAGGGAGAAGCTATTCCACCGGTAAACTGACCTAGAACAAGGGGGGCACAGTTTGAAACTGATGTGGAAAAGGGTGATAAGAGGAAAAGAAACTTATTCGCTCAGTGAGCGGTTAAGGGTCGGGAATGCACTGCCTGGAAGCGTGGCAGAGGCAGGTTCGATTAAAGGGGCATTGGGGATTATTTGGTGAGACGTGGAGTGCAGGGATACGGGGTGGGGGGTGGGGAGGTGGGTGGGGAAAAGGCCAGGAGTTTGGGCACTGGGTAGCGATCGTCGTTTGACAGCGCAGGCAGAATGGGCTGAATGGCCTCCTCCTGGGATTTTGAGCACCTCGATCAAATCTCCCCGGGTCTCTCAGCCACATCTGTTAGGATGACCACAGGCCATGAGGAGCAGGTGGATAAACCAACCGCAGGCTCAAGGGCCCATGCGATTAGTCTGAACAAACTGAAGCAGGGACCTGGCTAGAAAGAAAGATCAGGCTCAGCTGCAGTGCACCTCATTGTGGACGCCCCCATTTTAAAGAGAGAAGAGGGCAGCACAATTCCAAACACAGTGGAATAGACATATATCCCAGCTCCTAGCCTCTTTTGGTAGGGAGGGGGGCTGACATTGTTCCTGCACAAAAACACCCCCACCCTCCACCCAAACCTCCTCACTTGTGCTTGCATCAATATTGCTCCAGGGGCCAGAACAAGGGCATATTGGCCAATACAGCTGCCCCCTTCCACACACTCAACCTCTCTGGGCCCTGGCTGCTGCAGTTCCAGAGACCGCCACGGAGCGGCAGCAACGCTCCACGGATCCCCCAGACGCAATGCGGAGCTGCAAACGCAGTGAAAGGGAAGATTATTAAACATGAACCGCAAAGAAAACGCTTCCCCCATCAGGAAACAAAAGGCATTTGCATCGCTGCTATTACAAGTTTATTCCTTTAAGGCGAATTCACAAACTCTCCATTAATTATTTTATTTTTTAGAAACCAATAATTGTTTGCAAAACGAAGCAGAATAAAAGTCTCTGCAGACATGACTTTTTTAAAATTAAGTTAACATATTTCTGCTAGCAGCTTATTTCCTTCAAGCATCAGAAGGGACAATGAAGCGTGGTCTGGACAGACCACAGTCTGGAGATGTATGCTTATACGTGCCCAGGTCATTCAAACCAACACGCAGCCAGGAAACAGCACTGGGGAGGTTCTCTTTACAATCAAACAGAAACACAGTGGGGCAGGAAGAGACACAGGGAGGGGGAAGAGAGAGAGAGACACAGGGAGGGGGAATAGAGACAGAGAGAGAGACAC